CATCCAGGCTGGAGTACACAATATGCTCCTAAATATTTACCATGTCTCTGTACTAAAAAATCTTGTTAGAAATAGAATATTCTAAGTGGTTTGGTTATCCGATATAAAACTAGTACAAGTGAGATCATCTTGTCATCTACTTCTCCTTTAAGATTTTCACAGAGATGGGAAACTAGAGTAAATGCTGAGTGTGGTGACTTCTGTTTCTACTGTTTTCTGTCTGGTTATGTTACTTATCTTACAGTAAGGGATATAGAAGAATGTTGCTGCATCTTCCTTTTCCATAAACCGGATCTTTTCTATCTGCCCATATATTGAGTTTTAGGGGACAGCATGACTCATCTGCCATAATGTAAATTTCTCTTGATTTTAGTCTTTTGTTATTAAACAGATAATTTTCCAAATGATATCTGGATGTGTAATGAGGCAGTAATTACTCTCATGTTTTAAAAAAGAATTGAATAAGTGAGCTAAGACAAAGTTGCTAAGCTTAAGCATTACTTTTGTATACAGTAAGTAACCTACTCTTTATTTGACTTTTTCAAGTTAATAGTGGTGTTTGCATTGCAGGAACACTTTGACTGAAACAGAAATGGGACTATAATTGTCCACTGCAGTTTATCAGTAAAAATTGAACAGGGAGAAGTTTAAAGATGGTTAACTTCATTCAAACATAAATTGAAAAAGTCTAAATGCAGAGCACAGCTGTATACTGGGTGAATGCAGGTTTTCTCATACCTAACAATTAATAGGCTTTCAGTTTGACTGCAGTTTCACTGTGACCTCCTTAGCAATGCTGAAGTATTAGACTGTTATGTCTAAGACTATAATGTTCAGGCACTTTAGGTGTAAGAAAGAAGAAAAGGATGTAATGGTTGCAAGCACAGCAGAGGTAAAACATTCTTCTGTACTGAAGGGCTGTAATGAATGAACATCAGACGTCAGGTTTCTTCATGGAGGGCAGAAGGCACTCAAGATTTCTTAAAAAGAACGCGATGCATATATCAGCATTGTGTAATAAATTGAATAAAGGCAGTAATAATTTTGCCAAGAAATAGAATTTGGTGTCAGGGATTTTAGAGCTTTAGCAAGGAGGAGGAGACCTTGGGATGCTTGTAGAATTAGATTATGGGAAAAATATGGGGTCTTTACCTACAATCCCATGTGTTTAAAAAAGAGAAGCCTAAAAGTAGGTATAAATCTGAAGTGAGCAGGACCAGTCTCAGTGCCCACTATGTGAAAAGCCACTAATAATGGGCCCTAAAATACCTTGCTGCTTAAAACCACTGTTAAACCTGTGTGTTAAACATAGATCATTACGAGGGTTGTGTTCTTTTTCATTACTGTTGATTAATTGGGACACATAAATGAGTATGGCTTTAAAAGGCGATTCAATGGAGTATATATTCTTGGCTTAAAAAATACACCAGCAGTTTTGGAAATGTATTTTAATAATGGCTCTGTCTGTGAAAACACTAGGAAAATAGTTTTCCCCATTGCAAAATGCTGTGCTGCTTAATCATGTACCTAACTCATAGTCACCACACCAGAAGCATTAGCATTAGTTCTGTTTATTCTGTTTCTTGTATTTCCTTTTTGCTTTGCCTTTCCTTTTCTCTGTTAGTGTTGTCTTCTTTCTCCTTTCCCATCTCCTTGCCACCTCTGGCCTATACTTCAATCTCTTCACATACAAGCTCTCATCCATTCCTTTCTTCGGCCTCTGTTCCTCTGCCTTCTTGCTGTCACCGAGCACGCTGGCTTAGCTAAGTAAGTTAGACCAGAACTGATGTCACAGAACTTGATTTAAAAAACCTGGATCTATTTTTTTTCTTTCATTTGATTATATAAATCTGTTATAAAACATGTAATTTTCTGTATCATATCAGATATGTAGTGAAACTTTGTGTAAAGGTTAGTGACGGGAGTATACTTTGTTTATTTACGAAAATCCAACATCTGCCTGTGAAGGACTTTATTTTTATAAAGTGACTGCTTAAAATTGGCTTGTCAAATTTAAATCTTTTTTTCTAGGATTAGTTCAGTGGGTGAGAGCTTTCCATTCTGTTAAATATTATCAAGCTGCTGTTACATGCAGAATTAGGGAAACATTTCAATTAATATTCTGGGCAGCTTCTTTGCAGTATTGATTAGAGAAAATCTTCAAATAGTAAGATGTAGAAGTAGACCTAAGCAAAGAATCATTTGTCTTGCTTGTACTTTTTTTTAAGCATTTCATCAGTTTATAGGTTTATTTGGCTATTTGCAGTGGTTTACAGTGGACAAATATGCTGTAAGGAAGCTGTTTTAATGACTTTATTGCTGGGATGGTAGGGAATTCATCTTACCGTGATACAGTACAGTGTGCAACATAGCTGAGTAAGAGTTACGGGGAGGAAGGTAAAACACTAGGACAGCGTATTTTGTATGTGGTGCTCTGAGAGCTAAGATTTAAGATTAGCTGATTTCAGCAGAAGGTATGGCGTCTTTAAATATGTGTGCTTACATTTGGATTTGTAATTTTGATACTGTAAAGCGTGGTTTCTTTAGGTATTTCTGCATTCTGAATTTAAGTTTAAATATATATATATTTGCATATATGTATGTAGTATGTTGAGAACTTTTACAAATGCTTCATTAACAAATAATGAATATATTTGTTTTCCTAATGTTACCAGCTTCTTAGAGTTAAGCACAACTAGTTACAAATAAAATGCCTTTTCTAGTACATTCTCCTATCAAAGTGCAGTTCTACTCTTTAAAAATAGTCCATTATAAAGAAGCGACAGATGGGCACATTCACAGCTCTGTCTTGCTTAGTTAAAAAATTTGACATTTGTTTCCAGCTTCTCGCGCTTCTTAGGAGCATGGTACTGAAGCTGGATGAGCAGGTATGTCGTAAGTGTAACTGCAGAATCTCTTAGTGGATATTTTTTAACATTTGGATCCCAGGGCAGGCATTATTTTAAGATAAACAGCTTTGTCCTGGAGACAATGCTAAGCAAAAAGAAAAAAAAAAGATATTTTTAATAATTATTTTTGAGTTTTCTTCTTTTCCTAGAGTAGAACCACACTTTATCTGCCATATGTTTAAATAACTTAAACATAGCATGGCTTTGTGCCATCCAATAATGAAGGCACTGTCTTGCTGCTACTTTCTACAAAATGATACAAAATTAATGAGAAACTATTTGGATGGGGAGCCTTAATAAGGTTAAAAAGAAACATAATGAACCCTTTCCGTGCCTTAAGACATCTTCTTTAACAAACGGGCACTCACCTGGACCTGCAGGCATACAGCATGTTTTCTCAACACAACAGAATATTGCCTTAAGTGACAGCGCCCTGGGATTTACACTTAGAACTCAAAGGGTTATTTTTAGACTACTGGTTTGGGACTTTTACAGGGAACAAAATGAAAAAGTCTTTAAAAACTTCTTTTGCACACATTATTATTTTTACATGATGGATTTACCAGCTTTCAGGTGCAAAATTACTGTTAATCTTCTGAGAAAACATAACTGGCTTAAGAATTCTACACAAAGACTACTTGGTTACCACTGTATGTGCAAAATAAATTGCTTTATTAAGTATAAATTTAGGGAGAGATGCACATTTGTGTGCGTTTACCTTGATGAGTGTGCCCTTGCAAACAAGATTTTAATAAGGTAGTGAAGAAACTAGCAAAATACAGTAAACCACAATAAAAAAAATATAACAAGGTCAGTTTGTTTAGTTAGTTCATTACATGTCAAAGATGCACAGTGCAGGCAACTGTATATTAAAGACTTTCTACAAATTATGTGGTTTAAACTTACCGCAAACCCACATCACAAAAATGAAGCTGGTAAATTAACTTGAACTGAAAGAGTATCATTTAATCACAAGTTGAAGATAAATATGATGCTTTTTTCCCTTGTGGGGAAAAAAGTAGTTTAGGTACATGCAGTACTGAAAGCAATGGAAGTAACAGGAGTCTTATTCACGAGACATGAGTAGAAATAACTGACTAATGTTTTTACTCTAAACTGTGCACCTTTAGTAGTGTAATGGTCCCTTTTACTGAAGATTGGGAAATAATTTTCTACTTGCATATGAACTTTCTTGAAATAACCAAGCATCTTGGCATTGCCTGGTCTGGTTTTGGATGTACATTGTACTGAAACTATTGAGTTTTAGACATTTCTTTTAGACATTTAACTACAAGCTAAAATCACTAGTAAACTGCGTTCTGACTGTAGAATTCAAGTACTAAATAAACTCTATGCATATTAGACCCATCTTACTTGGTCTTAAGTTTCATAACAGTGTTGGGTTGATCATGATGTGGTTTGTAGCTGCAGTTTAGTGACACCGAGCCATCTGGGTCCCCTAGGAGGATATTCCTTAGTGATACTGTATAGACTGATGCTTCATATAGAGTAAAGATGAAAGCAACCACCTGCCCGTCTAAAGCTGCAAGAGTCTTTACTCCCTTCTCTGTAGCAACTGGACATTTAATTTGGTAACTAGGTATCAGACACTGGAATGTAAGAGCGGCAGATGTGTATACAGCAATATTGCTACAAACTTCTTTTGCTTCATACGTTCTTCGTGATTACAATTTGACATTCAGAGAAGAACTAAGTTTAAAGAAACCATTAAATGAAAATGCTCATTTATTGTAACTCTTAGAACAAAGCTAGGAAGCAGACCGATTCGCAGAACAAGGATTCTTGTACAGTTCTATACTTCTCCAAAGCATAGTATCAGGACATAGTAGCAATAAAATGACATCACTGTGTCTTACTTGGAGCCCCAAGTTACATAATGCTTTTTAATTACAATTCTGGTGTGCTAAAGCTGAGGCAAGGACATCAGGTAATTTGCCAAGTCCATAAAGTCTGTGTCAGAGAATGATCTACAGTGCGGGAATCCATGGCTTGAAGTTGCCAAGTCCAGCTGATGCAGTCTGTCTTTGTGATCTTCTAACTTGTCTGAAATTTTGTTCATACAAAGGAAGATTAAGCTAAGCTAGATGGCTGTTGAGGATTTCTTTTCACTTGACATTGATGTATTAATGGAATCAGTCTGCCTTCCTCATGAAGCCTCAGAGTATCTGTAGCACCTCCTACAAAAGTCCCATTGACAAACACTCTTGGGACCTGTCAAGAAAATGAGTTGCATGAGTTACTTCCTGAAAAAATAAGAAAAATCTTAGCACACCCACATGGACACCAGTATACACACAATAGTTATGTTCTTACATATGCATATTTAATATTACTGTACAACTCGTATTTCCATAATATTTAAGGAGACAGGAAACATTGTTCACATTCCCCTAAAAGTGAGATAAAGTTACTGTATAGGAGACTGTAATAAATGAAAATAATTGAGTCAAGTGAGACTATATAAAATTAAGAAAATACAAGGTAAGTGTTAAACACAAAGGATTAAATATACCTATACAAACAAAAACTGATTTTGAAACTTTAATTATCTTAGTGGCAGTATGGAAATGAGAAGTTTGGAAAAGTTTATGGAAAGTATAGAAAATGTCTATAAATTTATAAAGGGCGAGAGTCAGGGGGAAGGAGCCAGGCTCTACTCTGTGATGTCCAATGACAGGACAAGGGGCAATGGGAGCAAGCTGGAGCATAGGAAGTTCAACCGGAACACAAGGAAAATGTTTTTTACTGTGAGGGTGACAGAGCACTGGCCCAGGCTGCCCAGAGAGGCTGTGGAGTCTCCTTCTCTGGAGACATTCAAAACCCGCCTGGACACGTTCCTGTGTGACCTGGTCTGGGTGATCCTGCTCTGGCAGGGGGGTTGGACTGGATGAGCTTTCGAGGTCCCTTCCAACTCCTAACATTCTGTGATTCTGTGAGGGATAGCCAGTGGTTCTCAAGATGAAGAGAAGGTATAAAACCCTTCTGCAGTACCTTGTCTTTAATTTAGGAGCTTGTATCCTAACTTGACTTGTCTCAAAGAAATGAAGAACTCGATATGGTCATAGCCCGTGAGGAACGCGTGTAGCACAAGTTCTTACTTGGCTTGTTACATGTAAGAAAATGTACTTACTGTTCTGGCACCGGTCATCTGTTCAAGAACATCTTGGAACTGACTTCCATTCGTAATCATGTCCAGTTCTACAGCTGTATAATTTATGTTCATATTCTCAAAAAGTTCTTTTGCCCTTTTGCAGTAGGGGCATGTTGTTTTAGAGAAGATCACCACACAGTTATCTGAAATAATATCCTGTATGTTCAAAAGAATGTTCAAGTCAGCATGCCCTGTTATTAAGTCAGTGTATTTTAAAAGTATTAAACAACCATGAAAGCAAATACAGAATTTAAAAATCTGCTATTATGGTAGCACATACAGGAAAATTACTTAATAAACACAGGAATCACCTTCAACATGCAGAACTATTTACAGAATTGCTTTATATAAATCAGAAGAGCTTTTAAGTAATTATGGCTGTTATAAATGTTGAACATGAGTAAGAATTGTATAAATAACGTTACCTGTATTTGATTCACAGCACCATCATTAGACAGTCCTACAGAAGCAGGCTGACTATTTCCCATTCTAAAACTAAAAAAGAAATTAAAGTCAGATGTTCAAACTTCCAAATTACACATTTTACAAATCACACAGTTCACAAATTAAAGGTTGGCTTTGCACTCTTTTAAGTATTTAATCCGATTTCTCCATTACATGCAAGTTTACTTCAGCTGCAACACCTCCAGTCGTGCTAGTCTTGCATGAAGATGAACTGTTGCAGACTATAATAACCAGAACGGCTGCCTTTATAGCTTCCCCAATGACAATACCAAACGGGTGTCAAATCTGTATTCGATGTCACAACACGTCTCTAACGCAAGGGACCACGCTCGGTGTTATCAAAGGAGCGGGTTCCGCATCCGCGCTGCTCCGAGGCCTGTACGTCCTGACACCAGTCGGGCACCCCCTGCCCCGGACCCTGCCGCTCCGCTCCCCGCAGGGCCGCTCCTCAGGGAACGTGCGTTCACAGGGCACGAAGGGAGAAAGCAGGCCCGGTCCCCAGGGGCTCCACCCGGGCCCAAGGTGGCGGCGGCAGAGCGCCGGCCGCGACCGGACACCCACCCGCGCCGCAGCCCCGCCAGCGCCCCACACAGCGCCCTCTGCAGGGCCATGGCCGCCAACCGGAAAGGGCGAGGCTGCCTCGCAGTCCTCACGCCGGTCCGATCACACTCGCAGGCCCCCACACCCTCTTCCGGGAGGGCGCGGGGCTGTCCGCTGCGCTGCCGGGGTCCTGAGGCGCCACTGAGGGCCTTTGGGTGAGGGCTCTGCCGGTAGCGGTACCGGAGGTTAACATAGCCCAGAGCGGGCC